AGTATGTTCCAGGAAATTCTAGGTATTGTAATAAGATAAGAAAATTAAAGAATATGTCATCAGAAAAAGAAGGGAGATAGTATTTTTCCATGTTTGTTTATCTAGAATATTCCAGGGAATGAAGTTCACGCCTTATAATCAACCATTTTTTCCCTGAATGTCTGCTTTCATAAAGCGTTTTCCTGTATGTTTCCCTTGGATTGTTATTTCTCTGAAATAAGTCACACATTAAAAAAAGTAACTCAGTAGTCAAATTCATGTGACACTACATTCAATGGCCTATTCCTGACGTTTCTCAATGCAAATTAGTTTATTAAATATTCTTTGAAGTTCTACATCGAGATGATTAGAAAGCTCTAAAAATCTTGCTCAGATTATTTACTTGATCAACAAATATTCAGTATCTTCAATGTGCTATTTGCTATAGTGACTGCCCTTCTTACGTTGATGGTTTAGCTAGAGAGAGACAGACAGTAATGCCATAATGACATAAACAAAGGTGAAATAGCAACTGTGACAAGGGTCAAGAGGCATGCCTGGGCTATGACAGCTTCTCCAGAATAGATAAAAACTGCAAGCATTTCATGTTCGCAGAACAGTCTGTACCAAGGCCATCTGGAGAGCAGCAGCGTGGTGAGGGTCGACCACACCAGGGAGTGTGCAGAGAGTGAGAACATGCAGAAGGCAAAGGCAGACAGAGCTTTCAGGTGACTTCTGGGAAGTGTCCCCTTAATTCTAAGAGCAATGAGAAACCATTAGGACAATTTAAACTTGAGGCTGGAAGAGTAAGTTTTACATGTTTAAAGGGTTACTGTTTTCAACTGAAAATGAATTGATAATAAAAACAAAGGAGATAGGAAAAGCATGCCAGTGGACACTTGGACAAGAGAACTTAGATGAGACTGTGATGTGGAACTGTAGGAGTCATATCAGGATATATCAAAGGCATTTTAGATATGATGAGAGAAAAGAGATTTGGGTACAGATAGGCCTGTAGCGTGAAGCCAGTGACATAACAAAAGCAAAACATCTCCATGTCTATTTTGCCCCATCTTCTCTGCCAAGGAGAATAATTGTCAAATCGAAAAGGGTAAAAATAAATGTTGCTCCAGGGTATCTGAAACCAGGCTTCAAGGCAGCCTGGTGGAAGAGTGGATAAAGAGCTCCTGGCGACTGAAGAATTTCAACTCCGGCCGGGCGCGGTGGCTCACGCCTGTAATCCCAGCACTTTGGGAGGCCGAGGCGGGTGGATCACGAGGTCAAGAGATCGAGACCATCCTGGTCAACACGGTGAAACCCCGTCTCTACTAAAACTACAAAAAATCAGCTGGACATGGTGGTGCGTGCCTGTAGTCCCAGCTACTCAGGAGGCTGAGGCAGGAGAATTGCCTGAACCCAGGAGGCGGAGGTTGCGGTGAGCCGAGATCGCGCCATTGCACTCCAGCCTGGGTAACAAGAGTGAAACTCCGTCTCAAAAAAAAAAAAAAAAAAGAATTTCAACTCCATGTGAATACACGCCTGCGTATCGAGGGGACCTGTGGAAGAGAACTGCACGTGGACCCACCCTGGAGGGGGATTTGGGAAGTGCAAGGGGCTGCAAGGGAGAGGACAGGCAAATATCTGACTTTCAGAAAGGGTAATAGGGAAGGCAGGATTTATGAAGCAAAGAACCCCCAAAATCATTCTATAATGGATTTAAAAGCGTCTACAAACACACAGGAGAAGGTTTCGTTGCAGAAAGCCATAGGAAGTTTGTGAAGAACTAATGATTTCTGATTAAATTCAGTTCTTTTGTTGAAGGGATTATTACACTGAAAGAACAAGCTCATTCAGGGGAGGGCATACTGTCCATGCCAGGAGACCCTTTAGGAAGACTGTGGGCATTCTGGACATCTGCATGGGGAGACTGTGACAGCATCCCAGGAAAATGGGCTACACCGGGTGATGACGGAATGAACGGTTTGTGGCAGAGATGAAAAAGCATCCCACAGTCTCCCTCCTGCTCCTCTTTCTTTTTTTAAAACTAACTTTTAAAAATTATATTTTCAAGTTTTTGTGGGTACATGGTAGGTGTATATATTTATGGGATACATGAGATGTTTTGATACAGGCATGCAATGTGAAATAAGCACATCATGGAGAATGGGATATTCATCTCCTCAAGCATTTATCCTTTGAGTTACAAACAATCCAACTATGTTTTTAAAGTTATTTTAAAATATACAATTAAGTTGTTATTGACTATATAGACACCCTGTTGTGCTATCAAATAATAGGTTTTATTCATTCATTTATTCTTTTTTTTTTTTTTTTTTTTTTTGACAGAGTCTCACTTTGTTGCCCAGGCTGGAGTGCAGCAGTATGATCTCAGCTTACGGTGACCTCTGCCTCCTGGGTTCAAGCTATTCTTGTGCCTCAGACTCCCGAGTGGCTGGGATTGTAGGTGTGCACTACCACGTCCAGCTAAGTTTTGTATTTTTAATAGAGATGGGGTTTCACCATGTTGGCCAAGCTGGTCTCAAACTTCTGACTTCAAGTGATCCACCTGCCTTGGCCTCCCAAAGTGTTGAGATTATACATGTGAGCCACTGCACCTGGTGGGTTTTATTAATTTCTTTCTATTTTTTTGTGTCCATTAACCATCCTCACCTATCCCTCCAACCCAACCTCCCAATTCTCTATGTCCATGAGTTCAACTGATTTGATTTTTAGATCTCACAGATAAGTGAGAACATGTGATATTTGTCTCTTTGTGTCTGGTTTATTTCACTTAAGATAATGGCCTACAGTTCTATCCATGTTGTTGCACATGACAGGATCTCATTCTTTTTCATGGCTGAATAGTACTCCATTATGTATATGTACCACGTTTTCTTTATCCATTCATCTGTTGATGGACACTAAGGTTGCTTCTAAACCTTAGCTATTGTGAACAGAGCTGGAACACACATGGGAGTGCAGAAATCTCTTTGATAGACTGATTTCTTTTCTTTGGGGTATATGCCCAGCAGTGGGATTCCTGGATCATAGGATAGTTCAATTTTCAATGTTTTGAGGTGCCTCCAAACTGTTCTCCATAGTGGTTGTATCAATGAACATTCCCACAGTGCGTGAGGGTTCCCTTTTCTCCACATCCTTGACAGCACTTATTATTGCCTGTCTTTCAGATAGAAGCCTCTTCCTTTAACAATAGGCTCCCTGCTGCTTTGCCTTCACCCAGCTGGAGAAGAAATGTTCCCATCTCTCTCCAGTGTAGTGAGACCACGTGATGGAGTTGCAGCCAGCAGAAGGTAAAAGGAAGCCGTGGGACCAAACTCACAGTCACTTCCTTAGAAAGGAAAGTGTTTGCTCTGACCCTCCTCTTTCCCTCTTTCTGCGCATGTGACCAGGTGAGCCAGCTTACACCTAGTGCAAGGGGCAACACAGTAAGACTGGAGGAGCCCTGAGTGATGGCAGGGAATCACCTGCCTCCTCGCTGAGCTGTTCATAGCCGTCCTCTCTCATCTGAGGTTTGCTCTCTGTGGCTTCAGTTTTCTGAGGTCAACCATGGTCAGAAAATATTAAATAAAAAATTTCAGAAACAAACAATTCATAAGTTTTAAATCAGGCACTGTTCTGAGTAGCATGATGAAGTCTCACACCATCCCATTCTGTCCCACCTGGGACATGTCTCCCCCCGTGTCCAGCATGTATTTGCTGTCTGGGCCCCTTGCCTGTGGTCACTTAGCTGCCGTCTGGGTCATCAGATTCACTGTTGTGGCATTATAGCGCTTGTGTTCAAGGAATCCTTATTTTACTTTGTAATGGCCCCAAAGCACAATTTTGGTGACATCGACAATTCAGATATGCCAAAGAGAGCCAAATGTATGCCGAAGAGAAACCAATTATATGCCAAAGAGAAGTTAATTTCTTACTGTGCCTGATTTATACATTAGAACTTACCATAGATATGTGTGTAGGAAAAAAACATAGGGTTTATGGTATACATAGGGTTCTGTACCAGCCATGGTTTCAGGCACCCACTGGAAGTCCTACCATGCATCATGCACAGATATGGGGTGACTACCGTATTTAAAGAAAGAAAAGCTCTTTTATTTGTTTGAGCCACTAGATCACATTGTTAAGACTGCTTTACTTACACATGTGCTAAACTGAGTGCCTTAGAAACTTTCAGAAATAAGGCTTATTATACATAAGTAAATAAATACACAGCTATTGAATGGACATGTATGTAAAACATATTTATATTCACTTTCTGAGGGTTTCCTGGTGTACGACCATAGGTTTTGCCTTGTTAATATATTTCTAATAACTTGATATAGAACTTAAATCATTAAAGCAATGCATGATAGATAATGAAATGAAGATACAAAAAAGTTTAAAAATTTGGGACAGTAAGATTAATTTGATTTACTCATTTTAACAGAAACATAAAGTCTTATTCATTGATACAAATAAAGTACATTGCAAGCAAAGAAGGAAGAAATACATAGTACGTGACAACAGACATGTCAACAGCAAGAGTAACAACAGCAACACAAATCCGATAAAACGATCTGAAATGCAATGTGGCTAACAGAATTAAAAATAAGAGCATTTAGTCTTTATTACTGGAAGAATCCTAGCTAGAACAATGAAGCTGTGTTTTTTTAATTTGCAGTGAACTTTATACTTCAGGAGAGGTATAAACACCAAAAGCAAACAGACACTTGTTGGTATATAGTTGAAATTCTATGAAAGTGGAATGAAAAGCTCCAGAGACAGGGATTTCCCAATCCCCAACTAAGGAGTCATCCGGAGGCTTGCTGGTGCTAAGAGATGGGGCTGATGACTACATCAGGGATTGGTACAGACAAGTTTAAACGTCTGTTCCCGCCTTGGGAGTTTCATCATTACGAACAGAGCGGAAGGAACTGTAGGGAAGAAAACCATTTGGAGTTATACCGTAATCAACACAGAGGCAATGAAAGCTTAAAGTGGTGTCTGTCCAATAGGGTCACAGGCTGCAGAGAGTTGTTCCTGTTATCTTTTGCTGTCTAAGAAACTACCCCCAAACCTAATCGTTTGAAAACAACAACCATTTGTCATATCTCATAATGGGGCACTTAGCGGCATTTAGCTGGAAGCTAGGATAGTCCAGAGTGCCCCAGGCAGCTTCACACTCATGCCTGGCACTGTGATGAGGAGGGCAGAGGGTGGGCTCCCCTGGTCCCTCTCACGTACTCTCTGACCTCTCCCTCAGGCCTCTCCAACAGCATAGCCAGATTCCTTACATAGCATCTCAGGACTCAAGAGCACCAGGCAGGAGCAGCTCACTCCCAGGCAGCCTGGGCCTGGCCAAGCATCATTCCATCTCCCCTGCTTGTAGAGACACAGGGAGCTAGTGCAGATTCAGGAGGGAACTAGACCTCACTCCCAGATGAGAGGGGCAGCGGAGGACTGGTGGCCATCTTTACCACAGCAGCAGGGGAATGAATGCTAAGAAAAAGTTATTAGAGTTGTGGGAGTAAGAAGTCCAGGGACTAATGAGATACTAATTGCAGGAGAGTGCGAATTAAAATTCATGTTTCAAGGTATTCTTGTAGAAATAGGGTGGGTGGAAGTAGATTCCTGTTTTGAGAAGCAAGATTAGACCATATTTGTGTTCTTAAAAAATTATTGGAAGTCTCAGAGGTGAACATTTGTTCAAGTAGGAGGGGGATTGTGGTTTAAAATATTCTTATGTTGAAGCCATCAAGTGAAATTGTTGCTTACACAATTTTAATACACTGTATATTGTCAGTCCAAAGGTTAGTACAGCTTCCACAGCAGACAGGTTACTGAAAATCCACTGCTTTGAATCAGAAAATAGGTAAATTATGCATCTTATTTTTAATATAAATTTGAAACACATGTAACCAGACGTACTAACAATACATACCATGTAATCGGTTTGATCCTGCAAATCTTAGTGAAACATGATTACTTCTTTACGCAGCTTATGGTAGAACTTCTCAGATAGTAGATGGAAAAATGTTGCTTCTATATTTTTTCGGTTGAAACTAGGTACTTGTTATTTAACTATTAGTATTTTGAGGTATATTAATCCTGTTTGTATAATCACAATATTTAAGAATGCTTTCACTTCTTTGTAGAAGTTTGCTTACAGAAATTATTTCACTCTACTATTGATTGCTTCTATGCAAACACCAACATCCAATAAAAAATGCTATTTTAAGTGCAACAAATATCTCATCCTTATAAATTTTTGAAAAGTCTTTGATTTTCGTGGTGTAACGTTGTGAATTATTTAGCCTTGTCTTGAATCCAGCATTGGAAACAGGAAACTCCAGAATACTGCTAAGGGCACTGAGATGGCCAAATGATTGACAGCTTTCGTTTTTCCCTGAAAGTTGACCGGCAGCAGGGGAAAGCCTTGCATCGGGGAAAAAACCTGATTGGCATGGATATATGGATGAATTTTCTTTTATGTAACCAAAGTGGCAGCTCTCCAAAGCAGTTGAAAGTGAACCTAACAGCATGTTGACTTTTTAAATTATTATGTTTAATTTAACCAAAGTAGACCTTGGTGATTACCTTTACTCCTCAAGTAAAAGATGATAGCCAGAAAAATGCTGTGAGGTGGATGTTGCTATTCCCTTTGTACAGACAGGTAAATGCTCAATTGAAAGTTAAGTAGTTGCTCAAAGTTGTTATTTTGGAATTGCTAGGGCTAGTATTGGAACTTGATAGCATTTGAACTTGACGTGTTTGACTTCATACACTGAAGTCTTTCTTCTACACAGAGTATATTTTTATTAGGTCGGGGGAAGGACTCTAGTTTCATTGCTATAGATGTGTTCCACATTGTATCATAATTGTGTCCTTACAGTGGTGACCTTTTCCTTCTCTCAGATATCCAAACACAAAATGTGTAAAGGAAAAGTGGCTTATTAGTTATGTACGTATTGTTCAGTTTTGAGAGATTCAGAGAAACAAGACGTGATGCAAAAATAAGTTGACTTTTGTTGCTTTCTCCTTTCCTGATCCTGAAAATGGGAACTCAGTAATACAAAGGCTGAAACTGCTTTCTTTTTATGGGGAAGCTCTGACTTCACCAGCTTCTTGGTTTGCAGAATCAGTCATGGTATGGAAAATGGAGTCTATATAGCCCATCTGAGAAATAGACAGGGCAAGAAGTAGACCTGGAGCTCCCATGGGAGAAAGGCATCTGTTCATGGCATTTTAATGTTGTAACATTAAATGTGAGGTTCTGATTTCATGGTTGGACTATAAGTAGTCCTGGAAATAATGTCATAATGAGCAGTCAATGAACATTTATTGAATTGACCTGAAAAGAAAACATTACAAATAAATCAAACTTGGGTGGTCTTACTGGCTTCTGCTCAATTCATTAGATAACATAGACAATTCTTTCCCAATTACTAGTTACTTTAACAAGTACATGATGAAATAAAACTTTAAAGTAGCACTTTCAAGTCAGCAAAATCATGCCACTCCTGTTAGCTATATGAAGGAACTTGTGGAAGACTAATGATCCCACTGAAATTAACCAGAAAATGCAGAAAAATACAAATAAAACAAGCTAATTGGAAACTCCACATCCTGGTCAGCATTTTTATTTTCAGTTGTTTGCATTTTACCCGTTCTAATATTTGTTTAGTGATATGTTGTTTCTTTACTTGCAATTCCCTAATAACATAATTCTGAGTATCATTTATATGCTTATTTGTCATTTGTACGCCTTCATAGGTGAGATGTCTGTACAGGTCTTTTGTTCCATGTTTTTATTGGTTTTTTTTTTAATTATTATTGTTAAGTTTGAAGTGTTCTTTGCATATTTTGAACGCAAATCCTTTAACAGATACGTGTTTTGCAATTATTTTCTCCTAATCTGTGGCTTGTATTTACATTTTTCTTAACAGTGCATTTTGCAGTGCTAAAGTTTTCAATTTTAGTAAGTACAAACTGACATTTTTCATGGATTATGCTTTAGAGTTGTATCTAAATATTCATCATCAAACCGAAAGACACCTGTATTTTCTCCTGTTATCTTCTAGAAGTTTTATAGCTTTATGTTTTACATCTAAATCTATAATTTTGAGTTAATATTTGTGAAAGGTATAAGGCTGTGCCTAGAATTTTTTTTCATATGGATGTCCAGTTGGCCTAACACCATTTGGTGAAGAGGCTATTCTTTCTCCATTGTTTTTTTTCCCCCTTGGCCAAAGACTTGTTTACTATATTTATATGGGTCTGCTTCTGGGACTCCTTATTCTGTTTCATTGATATACTTGTATATTCTTTCACCAGTGCCACGCTGTTTCGGTTACTATAGTTTTATAGTAATTTTTGAAATTGGGTAGCGTTAGTTTGCTAACTTCTTTTTTCTTCAGTGTTGTGTTGACTATTCTTTCTTTTGCTTCTCCGTATAGTCTTTAGATTCAGTTTGTTGATATTCACGAAATAGCCTGATGAGATTTTGGTTGAGATTTCACTGCATCTACATATCTCATCAGGAAGAACTGACGTCTTAACAGTATTGAGTCTTTCTATACATGAACATGGAATAGCTCCTCTTTATTTAGATCTGCCTTGATTTTTCATCAAGCTTTGTAGTTATCCTTGTGTAGATTCTATACATATTATGCTATATTTATACCTAAATATTTTATTTTTTGGTGCTAACATCAATTGTATTGCATTTTAAATGTTAAACTTCAGTTGTTCATTGCTGATGTCTAGGAACACAACTGACTTTTATGTATTTACCTGTATTCTGCAATGTTTCTATAATTGCTTATTGGTTCTGGGGTTGGTTTGTTTTTTAAGGATTTTCTACATTAAAAAAAATACATCATCTGTTAGCACAGACAGTTTTATTTCATGCTTGCCAATCTGTATGTCTTTTATTTCCTTTTACCTTATTGCAGTAACTACTACTATCATTTTGATGATAAACATAAGTGGTGAGATGAGACCCTTGCCTGATTTCTGCTCTTAGGGGAAAGCATCTAGTTTCTCTTCATTAAGAATGATGTTATCTATAGGTTTTTGTAGATGTCCTTTGTCAAGTTAAAGAAGTTCCACTGGATTCTTAATTTGCTGAGAGCTTTTGTCATATAAAGATGTTGAATTTTTTCAAGTGTTTTTTTATGTATGCATTGATATGATTATGTAATTTTTCTTTCTTAGCCTGCTGATGTCAAGGGTTACATTAACTGATTTCTCAATTGTTGAACTAGACTTGCACAGCTGGAATAAATTCCTCTTAGTCATGGTATGTAATTCTTTTTACATATGGTTAAATTTGATTTGTTAATATTTTATTCAGAATTTTTGTATTTGTGTTCATCAGCAATGTTGGTCTGTAGTTTTTCTTTCTTATAATGTCTTTATTTGATTTTTGCATTAAGGCAATGCTGTCTTCGTAGAATGCATTAGGAAGTGCACTGTTTCTATTTTCTGGAAGGAATTACAAAAATTGGAATCATCTTTAAAAGAAAATATTCAGTGGAATTCACCAAAAAAAAAAAATAAATAAATAATCTGGACCTGCTGCTTTCTTTTTCAGAAAGTTATTGATTTAATTTCTTTAATACTTATAGGCCTATTTAGATCATCTATTTCTCCTTGTGTGAGTTTTGATAGCTTGTGTGTTTCAATGAACTGATTCATTTCACCTTCGTTACTGTATTCATAGGTACAGAGTTGTTAGTAATGTTCTTTACTTTCTTTATGTTCATGGAATCAGTAGTGATGAACACTCTCATTTCTGATATTAGTAATTTGCATTTTCTCTGTTTTTCTTGGTTACTTTGACTTGGGGCCTAACAATTTTATTAATTCTCTGGAAATCACCTTGAATGATTACTAACTTTCTCTTGATTTTTATTTCAATGATTTCTGTTCAGAAGCTTTATTATGTATACCCATCAACTTTGGGTTTTGTTTGGTCTTCTTTTTCTAGATTTTCCTTCTTTTAAAAAATGTATTTATTATTGATACATAATAATTGTCCACATTTATGAAATGCATGTGATATTTTGATACATGCAGCATACAATGTGTAATGATCAAATCAGTGTATTTAGAATGTCTGTCACCTCAAATGCTGATTATTTCTTTTTGTTGGGAACATTTCAAATCTTCTTTCCTGGTTATTTTGAAATATATAACAAATTATTATGAACTTCGGTCCCTTTATTGTACTATCAAACATTAGAATTTATTCCTTCAATTTAACTGTGGGTTTGTACCCATGAATCAACCTCTCTTCAGCCCTCCCTTCCCAGCCTCTGATAACTCTCATTCTGCTCTGCCTTCATGGTGAGAACTTAGATGATTAAATGCATTTTTCTAATACAGACATTTAAAGCTATGCACTTCCCTCTAAAAAATACTTTAGCTTCATCCCACAAATTCTGATCTATTTTTCTCCTTAGTGCTTAGTTTGAAAGATTTTTAAACTTACTGTAGATTTTTTTCTTTGTTCCAATGGTTAATTAGAAGTATTTTATTTTTTTTATAATTTTTGAATTTTCTAGATTTCTCATTGTTATTAAACTATGGCTTGACTTTGTTAAAGTCAGAAATTATATTTTGTAAGAGTTAAATATTTTGAACCTTACTAAGCTTATTTCTTGGTTCAGCATGCATCTGTGTACCTGCACTTGCAAAGAACATTTATTCTGAGTTGTTTGCAGGGGATTTTCATATGTCTGTTAGGTCAAGTTGATTGATAGTCATGTTTAGATTTGTAAATATCCTTTTAAGTTATTTTATATTGATCTTTCAACTGCATAGAGAGAGAGATAATTGTGGATATTTCAATGTTTTCTTTAGCTCTGCCTCATTAATTTTGATTTTGTTATTATATATATTGTCACATATCTGCAAACTATGTCTGATGAAGGACTAGAATATATGCAGAACAGTAAAAAAAAAGCTTGTCAATCATAAAAACAAAAATAATCCAATTGGAAATGGACAAAAGTCATGAAGAGGCATTTCAAGTTCTAGGATATACAGATGCAGAAACACACATGAGAAGATGTTTAGTATCATCAGTTATCAGGAAGACGTACGTTAAAACCACAATGAGATATTAGGGCAAACTCAACAAAATGGCTAAAATAAAAAAATGACAACACCAGGTGAGGATGCAGAGAAACAGAGTCACTGACATTTCTGGTGGGAATGGAAAATGTTACAGTCACTCTGAAATATAGTTTGGCAGTTTCTTGTAAAATCGAACATGCAATTACCTACGATCTAGCACTTGTACTCTCTGGCATCTATCCCACAGAAATTAAAGCTTATGTTAACATAAAAATCTGTATAGGAATGTCTATAGTAGCTTTATTTGTGATAGTCAAAAACCGGAATTGACTCTGATGCTCTTCAGCAGTGAATGACTAGACAAACTGTTGTACATAAAATACTACTCTGCAATAAGGGGAATCAATTGTTAATATGGCTAGTCCCTTGCCAGATATAGTTTTCAAATGTGTTATTTCGTGTGTGTGTGTGTGTGTGTGTGTGTGTGTGTGTGTGTGTGTGTATAACTTGAATGAACCTTTAGGGATTTATGTTGAGTGAAAAAAGTCAATTCCTAACAGTAACATATTCTATGATCCCATTTATAAAACATTTTTGTAATGTCACCATTTTATAAGTGGAGGACATGTTGGGGAAGTGGTAGTTGGAAGACATTAGGTGGGTGGAGTCACAAAAGAGCAAGATGGAGGTCCTTGAGGTCCTTGTGATTTGGACCTGATCAGTCGTTACAGAGATGGTGCATGGATGACCTACACAGAACTGCATACAAGTGAAACTGTCACATTGTCAGTATCCTAATTATGACATTATGCTATGACTTTGCAAAATATTACCATTGGGAAGACTGGGTAAAGTAGACAAAGAATGTCTTTGTAATATTTCTTAGACCTGCATGTGAATTTACAAATATTTCAACAATATTTCAATTATAAAAAGGGCTGGTCAGATATTATTAAATGTTAAAACAATTATTTTAAATATGATTAAAATATATTATCTCCACCATTATTTTTATTGAATTAGTATCTATTTTTTCAAAAATAAAGAAAAAGAGAAATAAGATTTATAAATCAGCTAAAGTTAACAAAGAAGAGAAAATAATGAAAATGCCTAACTCATTTTCCTAAGATGAATAAAAATATTGTTTTATTATTTTAGACAAACATGGGATGTTTGTCTATGATTGACTCCTGTAATTAGTCAAATATTGGTTTAAATGTGTTCTTTAAAAACTTGAATATAAGCACTTGTAAATTAGTCTACCAGTAACAGATGTCTACTTCCCAAATCAATGCAGAATGTTATAGCCACCAGGTCTCTACAGAAAAATAAAGCTAAAATCCAAAAAGAACCTGAGCATTAGATTGAAAACTAGAAGGAATTATAAAATGCAAATTCATAAAACATGAGGATCAGAGTCAGATCAAATCTGAGAGTAGTTACGTTATGTGTTGAATGGTGCCCCTACACATGTTGAAATCCTAACCACAGGTAGAATGTGACCATATTTGGAAATAGGATCATTTCAGATGGTGTTAGTTAAAGCAAAGTCAAATTGTAGTAGGATGGCTCCCTAATCCAACATGACTGATGCATTTCTGTAAAAGGGCAATTGAGACACAGAGCACACTGCAGGGAGAAGACACATGAAAGTAAAGGCAAGGACTGGGATGATCTTCCCACCAACCAAGAGACAGGCAAGAGTGCTGGCAACCACCAGAAGCCGAGTGAGAGGTGTGGGGCAGATTCTCCCTTACAGCCCTGGGGAGGAACCCTCCTGTTGACAGCCTAAACTCAGACTCCCGGCCTCCAGAACTCTGAGTGAATCAGTTTCTGTTGTTTAAGACACTCAGTTTGTGGTGCTTTGCTATGGCAACCCAGGAAATGAGTAGATATGTAAATATTTTATGTGAAAAAATAAAGTAAAAATAAATGTGAAAAAGTAAAGCAAAATAAAATCCTATACTATACCATTTTCAATGAGCACATCAAAATAAAATAATTCAGAAATATTTTTAAAAGGTATCTGGAAATACAGGAGACAAAGTAGATACCAACCAAGTGACAAAACAACAATGAACAAAAACAAATACCCAGGAATTGTAATATTGGTATCTAAAGCCAAAAGCATTAGGTATGAATAAGAATATCCAGTTGTATTCTTTATTTCACCAAAAAGTGAAATGTATAAGAAGGCATAGTAGTTATGAACATTTATACAAGTAATATTGCATAAATGTATACAGCAAAGACAAATGAGTAGGTACACAATTCTTTTTTTTTTTTTTTTTTTTTTTTTGGGGGTTTTTTTTTTTTTCTCAGTCTTGAGTGGAATGGCACAATCTTGGCTCACTGCAACCTCCACCTCCTAGGCACAAGTCATTCTCCTGCCTCAGCCCCCCCAATAGCTGGGATTACAGGCACCCACCACTATGCCCAGCTAACGTTTGTATTTTTGGTAGAAATGGAGTTTCACCATTAGGACAGCTGGGAACGAGCCGGCCTAGGTAGCCCGTCATGGGAGGCAAATAGAGGAGGAAAAGCAGGTGAGAGAAGGGAACCTGCTGAGGAGGAGGGAAAACGTTCAGCATAGTCTCATGTTCTCATGGGAGCCTAGAGGAGAAAGAAAAAGGAAGAGAAGGAAGGAAAGTCCAGAAAGCTAAAGGTAGAATGAGGGGCAGCATCGAGACCCTTGATTGGCCTGGCAAGAGCACTTCCGGGGGCAGAAAGGACAGAATTCCTCCTAGAATCCACTTCCAGGGGGCCGAGAGGACGGAATTCCTCTCAGAATCCGCTGAAGAGTAAAGGGAAGTTTGGGGGTTGAGTATTGAGGAATTTTTATTTTTCTATATCTCTCCAGGGGATTTAGATGCAAAATGTAGAGGTAAATGGTGATTGTTAAAGTAATTGAAAGCACTTGGAAATAAATAATATTCTGAATGTACTCTGGATCAAGCAGGCAGTTGAAAAGATGGTCGTTGGAGTGTTTGAAATACGACCATGATAATGACATGGGAGAGACATTTTCAAAAGCTGCTCACATAGTTTTCGGAGTGAAGTACCTGTTTTATTTTCTTTTTATTATTTTACTTTAGAGAAAGAAAAGGATCAATATACCAGCACCAAGATTTTGTTTCAAGCTTTTAGGAAACAAAACAAAACAAAACAAAAACAAAAACCTAAAACAAATAACATAGAAAAAGAGACAGAGAGGGAAAAACTCAATAAACTGAAAAATAGTAAGACGGCAGAAATGATAAATTCGAGAACCGGTCTTTGGGAATAACTTGGGAGGAATGGAAAAAGCTCAAGTTTTATGAATGCAGTGATGATAAAATTATGAAAAAATGACTAAAAAATGAATTAGATATGTGGGAGACTTTTACATGTTACAGGAAGGCACTATGAAAAACTACGAACGAATTATAGTCTTATTAGATAGGAAACTTTTTTCAAAAATCGAAATTTACACAACTGACTGCAGAAGGAGAGAAGAAAAAACAGATTTGTTAATAACCAAAGAAGAAATAGGAAAAATTCACAAGTGATAAAGGTTGCAGACTCAGATGGCTTCAAGATTTAAGAAATTGATAAATGTCAGAAACCTCAATTTTTTTTTTCAGAATGTGGAATGAGATATAGATGATCTATTTCTAAGTTTAAAAATGTTAAATAAGTTGGAATAAAAAATCCTTCCTTGATGTTATCTAGGACATCTAAACTCATTATACACATGCAATAATAATGGCTGATGGCTTTACCTTACCGAGCACTTGCTCTGAGGGGCAGAGGAACCATGCTGGGTTTTGTGGGCATCAGCTCCTTTAACCATCACAGATAGTGTCTAAGGTAATATATTTAATTCAACTTTATAGGCCAGGAAACTGTTCCTTTTTGATGGTTGTTGATAAAATGGGGCCAACTCCTTCTTTTTCCTTTTGTACCTCACGTTTGGCAAGGCCATCATGAAGTCTATGTATCCCATGCTTTGATACTGGTGGGAAGTTCAAACTATGCAAACCACTCAGCACTCAGGAGCCCTTTCCAGAAACCCAGCCCCTACCATTATAAAAGCTACAGTTACTCACCACTTCCTTCACCTTTCTGGACAAGTGTCGGGGGCTGCCCTGCTGTGAGTCCCATTGTGTAAGTGATACACATTGCCATACATGCTTGGTGCATGTGTGGTATCTCCAGTCTCCATCTCTGTTATGGGTTGAATTTGTGTGTCTGAAAAAAATATGTGGTAATCCAAACTCCTAGACCTGTGAAGGTGACCTTATGTGGAAAGAGGTTCTTTACAGGTAATCAGGATAAGAAGATGTCATTAGGTGGGCCCTAAACCAACAGGCATTTTATCATCATAGGAGGAGGGCAAATGGGACCTAATTAAACTAAGAGTTTCTGCATAGCAAAAGAAACTATCAACACAGTAAACACAATCTACAGAATGCAAGAAAATATTCTCAAACTATGCATCCAATAAGGGTCAAATATCCAGCATCTACAAGGAACTTAATTCAACAAGCAAAACCTAAATAAACTCATTAAAAAGTGGGCAAAAGACATGAACAGACACTTCTCAAAAGAAGACATACAAGCAGCCAACAAACAAATGAAAAAATACTCAACATCACTAATCATCAGAGAAAGGCAAATCAAAACCACAGTGAGATACCATTTTATAGCAGTCACAACTGCTGTTACGAAAAAGCCAAAAACAATAGACTCTGGTGAGGCTGAGAAGAAAAGGGAACGTTTATACACTATTGTTGAAACTGCAAATTAGTTCAGCCATTGTGGAAAGCAGTTTGGAGATTTCTCAAAGAACTTAAAACAGAGCTGCGATTTGATCCAGCAATCCCACTACTGGATATGTATCAAAAAAATAAAAAATAAATAAATCGTTCTACTAAACAGACATGTGCAATGTTCATTGCTTCAGTATTTAGAAAACAGAATCTTCACAAATTGGACTCCAGATACATTTGCAAAGCAAAATAAATAAATAAGTAAAATTAATAAATAACCAAGAGGAAATATAGGTTAATATATAAAGTATGACAATAAATACAGAAACAGATATATTTGACTACCTAAAAATGTAAAAAGAGATGTACACACAAAATAAATCAAAACTCAATCAAACAAGTTGATATATTTAATAGTAGCAAAGGAGAAATATTTATACTATGTAAAGAAATAATGCAAGCAATTAGAAAAACCATCATAAACATAGTTGATAAATGGAGGAGGCACATGAAAATTTTTCACAACCTACTAACAAACACACAGGGAAAGTTCAATTATAATAATAGTCTAATGCAATTTTTTAAATATTTCCAGAAAATGATAACACACTGCTGGTGAACATGTGGTTAAGCAGTGTTAAAGATTGCTGGGCTGTTTCAATTATGTTGGACAACAATTTAGAGGCATACATCAATATCCTTTGACCTTGCATCTTTCCACCTAGTTTTATTAGGTTAAAATTTGACCTAATTTTGATTTTGAAATAAATCCTAAGAAGTTACCCAAAAATATGGGGACAATTTTATGTATAATAATGCTCATAATGGTAAAACAACATTGAAAATTATTTAGTGGCCACAAGCATTAGAGAACGGGAAATGAATGAACACAGAACAGAATATTGTGTGGCCACTCTCCATGATGTTTACAAGGCATCTTCTGTAATAGGAGAAAATTCCATCACCAAAGTCTAACTATCTGCTGCAGGGACATTGTGATTTGCTTTCTTCCCTTTCTATTTCTCCCCATCTGTTTTCCACTTTTTCTGACATGATCCTGGGTGACTTCTAGAACAAGAACATGCATAGTTTTGAGGAGAAAGAAACCCAGCACCGAGCGTGTGCTTGTGTAGATTAGTGTGTGTTTGAGGTCAGGCAGGTATGGCATTGGGAAGACCATCCCGCCCTAAGACATGCATATCCCAGTGGCAGCGACAGAGCCCAGGAGCGAGCTGTCAGGAATGTCGCTTCTCAGGGAGTTTACTGGAACTAAATGTTTGAGATCATTTCTTCTAATTACAGCAATGAAGGCATCGTTCTGAGACCTACACTGGAATACCACGCCGAGTCCTTGCTCATCGCCACGAGTGCTTTGAGTTTCACTGTGATGTGTGTGCAGTGTATATGGGCCTGCTGAGGCTGATACAGCAGTCATTCTTTCCAAAAAAACTTTGATCTGCTGAAAGGTGACTACAAAGCTGATAGCCAAGGTACTGACGCAGGGAGACTTTCACAACATGGCGTGTGAGAAGGGGTGGGTCCCAGGGGCAGCTTTGCTGAGTGTGTAACAGCTAATTGGGCCTGCCAGGGCCAGCAATTAGCTTGGAGGTATTCAGAACTTCTGACAGGGCCACCTTTATCTGTAAACCAGTTCTTCATTGAACAATAATGTGCACCCAGTCGGGGAGACATCCCTGCAGCACAAAGCAGGCCGCCCGCGTCAGGGGAGAAGGAGCTTTTCCCCGGGCTGTGGAATTCGGATGGCCTCTCCCCAGCGGAGCCCAGTGATTTCCTGGTTCCTTAAGGGCGACACTTGGCAGGTTCGTCATGAGAGGAACATCATTTCCCTTAGTCTCAATGACTGAGTTGTTTCTTTAACTAAATATCACTTCTTGGAAAACTGAGGGTGATAATTTTCTTTTCAAACAGTGAAGAGAATTTTAGAAACTTCACTTCGAAAATGATCTACCAGGGTTGTTTTAATAAGAGCAAAGTTTGGAAAATAAAACTTAGAAACGTTGTCTCTGGGCTGTCTAACAATTTTCCTTGTGCTTTTGTTAGTTGGGAAGGGAATGTGTTCGTCTTTGTGTCTGATCCTTAAATTCTTTTTCTTCCTTTTTGTTTGGACTTAAATTTCGAGAGAGAAATCCATGGTCCTTTCCCCAAGAATCCTTTCTCTCCTCCCTAAGAAAACAGCACTTCTACAGTGTTCCCTTCTTCAAGCTTCATGGCCGAGTTGTGGGTTTTTGTGATTTATTTTTATTTTGTTTTCCTTAGTGGGGGCCGAGGATCGGCTCACCCAAAGTAGACTTGTCTACTGCCAGAAGGCGTTACCTGGTGTTGGAGGCATGGCCGCATGTGGGCTCTTCACATCTGACCTTGGAATTCAGCTGGAGGGTCAAGCCCCACATGGCTCCCCAGCCACCACTGCCCTGTGGCTCTTTTTAGCTGTATTTAAAGAAAAACTTTTTAGAGACAAAATTTCTCTGTGTCACCCAGGCTGGAATGGCATGATTGTAGCTCACTGCAGCCTTGATCTCCTGGGCTCAAGCAATCCCCCTGTAGCCTCCCAGGTAGCTAAGAGGACAGTTGCATGCCACCACACCTGGCGAATTTTTTGGTTTTTCATAGACATGTGTTCTCGCTATGTTGCCTAGGCTGGTCTCAAATTCCTGGGCTCAAGCCATCCTCCACCTTGGCCTCCCGCAGTGCTGGGCTTATAGGGATGAGCCACCGCACCTGGCCTGCTCAGTGACTCTTATGTCAGCCTCACCCCCTCCTTCCCTGAGAGGTACATCAAGAAGGGAGAGGTTCTTGACAGTCTGCGGATGACAGCTCTATAATTTCAGCATTATTTTTAATACAATGTAAGTGCCATACACACACACACACACACACACACACACACACACACACACACACACACATATGTGGCTTCACTTTACGTCTGCTTTTTCAGATAATTGATTTGTATGTACTTGTCTCTGCTAGATTTCAGTAATTTGCCTTTCTTTTTTTTTAATTTTTTTTCTGTTGTCCCCTCCCAGTTGTTCTAAATCTTCCATGGAAAAAAAATATGAAGCACTCCCACTATGCTTTCCCTGCAAGGAAGCCTGTCATGCAAAGGAAGGTCAGACAGATGAGATTCCGGCTGGCCGCACTAGCTAAGCTATTCAGCACGGCAAGTGTACGGGAACTAGGCTGCTTTGAGCTGACTTTGCCAAGACAATGATGCTGAGGTGAGCACCGATGAGACACTGATGGTTCTCAGGGATCTCCTTCAAGAACATAAAAGGGGGCTGATTGATGAGGTCTGTGCATCTGTTCTGTCTCACAACAGCTCCTGTCCCAGGCGTGTCAATACCCCGGAGCAAGGGCTTTGGAAGTAGGGAGCAGGTTTAACGGGTGAATTTACTTGCAAGAAAGAAATTCTTCTCCTTGCATTGGTCACCATTTTTTTCACCAACAAACTAGCATTTCCTAACCTACTAAAAGTTTACAGTTCTTTTCTTCTTCTTTTTTTGGCGAGCACATTTCTGCACTGTTGAGCTGACAGCTGAAATCTGTCCTCCTCCTGTGTGTGATGTCAGCCATGGGCCAGCCCGACAGTCATGGAGAGGAGAGGGGGGGCAGTTAGGGGAAAAGGAAGCCTGGTCCGATTGTGACAAGACCGGCCGAAACTGTGTGTCATTGTCACAAACTCCATGGCCTGGCAGCTCTCCGCAGAGGGAGCTTTGTCTCTCATGACATATCTAAAAGCTCACAGGAAGCCAGCCCGCACCTGTAGCTCTCCTGGCTGACATATGACGAGGCAGCCTCCAGAGAGAGCGAAGAGAATGGGCAAGAGCTGAGGCTCCACCAATAGCAGGAAACGGGCTGTGCTGTGGACAGCCGGCTCCACCAAGAGTTAGTTCTAAAATCTGAGTTCGATGACGATGTGCCGTCAGGTACACAATGACAGACGAACAACCATCTCCCGTCTCACGGCTGCTCCCTTGTTTACTGTGCTTTCACACTCCAGGAAAGAGCCCATAAAGGCACCTGTGTGGTGTCTCATAAGAGTCGGGGCTGCCAAGCAGTTCCCATGTCTTTTCCAACAGGTGTGGAAGGTGAAAGGAAGGAGCAGGAAGGAAAAGATGAGGCAGGCAGAGAAAGAGCCGTGTGAAACACCTGGAGTGCAGAAGCGTTCATCCGAAAGGCTGCGATGACCGTGATGAGTCAATTGTTTCATTCCCACAATTATAAAACACTAGACAGTTCTTGTGTTTACAGGAGAACAACAACTGTTTCTCTGTTTCCATTCATTTTCTATTTTAAAAATAAAAACTTTATATAAGCATAGGATACTTAAAAAACAAGATATATTTTAGCTTATGTTTATTTATGGACATGCTTAAAAGCATAGCATTTTTTAATCGGATAAACAGGTAAAAATAACTGGAGGGGAAGTTTCATACTTGACAGAGATGCTGTTGAAATATTAAATGTGGGCCGGGCGCGGTGGCTCAAGCCTGTAATCCCAGCACTGTGGGAGGCCGAGGCGGGTGGATCACGAGGTCAAGAGATCGAGACCATCCTGGTTAACATGGTGAAACTCCGTCTCTACTAAAAATACAAAAAAATTAGCTGGGCATGGTGGTGTGTGCCTGTAATCCCAGCTACTCAGGAGGCTGAGGCAGGAGAATTGCCTGAACCCGGGAGGTGGAGGTTGTGGTGAGCTGAGATCGCGCCATTGCACTCCAGCCTGGGTAACAAGAGAACACCTCCGTCTCAAAAAAACTAAAAAAAAAAAAAGAAATATTAAATGTGGCCAGGTATGGTGACTCACACCTGCAATCCCAGCACTTTGGGAGGCTGAGGCAGTTGGATCACTTGAGGTCAGGAATTCGAGAAAAGCCTGGCCAACATGACGAAACCCCGTCTCTACTAAAGATACAAAAATTAGCTGGGTGTGGTGGCACGTGCCTGTAAAAACTCAGGAGGCTGAGGCAGGAGAATTGCTTGAGCCCAGGAGGTGGAGGTTGCAGTGAACTGAGATCACACCACTGCACTCCAGCCTGGGAGACAGAGCAAGACTGTCAAAAAAAAAAAAAAAAAAAGAAAGAAAAAGAGAAAGGAAGG